AAATTACTTTAGCATTCCTTAATTTGAGAGCATTTAAGTTGTTTCTTGCTTTGTTTGACTTTGTTTTACTTGGGTGTTATTACTTTAGAAATATATCTAAAAGTAAGGTTGTACAGGTAAAAATATAAATAATGTTCTATTCATTGTTGTGTTTATTAATCAATTCTTTTCTGAGGAAAAATATAACCAATTTAAAAAGCTACCAATAATGGTCAAATATTATTGGCCCCAAATTCATACCACCCCCACTTACATACAATCATGTAATAGTGTTGTTAGTTTTGCTGGTTTGACAGATGTAGACAGTGCCTAATAGTTGTGTGAATGTGAACTTAAATTATTAGTAAGACTAAATATCATTCATAGTAATGACTCGCTCTCTAAATGTTTAAAGATCGCTGATCAGGAGACAAATAGTCACCTTTTCTAAGCTCCAGTAATTTTCATGTTTATAAAAATACTTTCTTTTTACAAATACAGTACACGTATATTTCAAAAAGTTGGGGAAATATAGAAAAACACCAGAAGTAATATAAAATTCACCTACAATCCCAATATACTTTTGCTTTTAATGTGTTTCATAGAAACTAAATTTCCATTATTCCCCTCTCCATCTGTCCCCATCCTCACTAAAAGAAATCACTCCTGGGGTTGGAGAGATGGCTCAGCGGTTAAGAACACTGGTTGTTCTTGCAGAAGACCCAGGTTCAAATCCCAGCACCCACATGGCAGTTAACAACTGTCCATAACTCCAGTCCCAGCCTCTTCTGACCTCTGCGGGCATTGCATGACACAGGTGTACTTACCTACGTGCAGGCAATACATGCATACACATAAAATAAAAATAAATAAATTTTTAAAAAATAAAAATATCACTTCTGAGCATGTAATACACATTGTTCCATGTTTTTTCTATGACTTTTTTATATGAACGGTACCACAATAATCACTGTTTTATGCAATAGCATCTCTCCCCTTTGTATCTGTATACCTTCTTTTTAAGATACATACACCTACCTCATACTTTTGACAGCTGCATGGCATTCTGTGCTATTAAATGCAATAAACTGAAACTGGGTCAAAGCAGGACAAAAGAGTCCCAGCTGATATCTGGAGCACACATATTACATTTTCTTTCTTTCTTTTAGTTATGAAATCATAGGTACCATCAACTCCCTTGTCCCTTGATCTTTCATTGCAGTCATCCACTCTGCCTCAACTCACTGGCCATTACCTCCATTTTTGGAGGACTGCTGAGAGCTATCAGAGAAGCTGTAAAGCCTTGTTGACTGGCTCCATGTCACTCGAGGGCTTCCTACCTCGGCTGGGCTGTTGCTCAGCAGTACACTGTTCTCATCCTCACAGGGCCAATAGAGTCCTTTCTCCCTCTTGCTCTGATCACATCATCACTTAATCTCTAATGTACAGAGTAACCTTTCTCACTTTCTGCATTTCCAAACTTGCTTTTCTTGGTCCACCTACCCTTGGTTCATCCTGATTAAGGGAAAGGACGTTGTGGTTCCTCTCCAAAAAAAAAAAAAAAATTCACTGAGTCTTCAATTTCACCCTCTGGACTCCATCCTCCTTCTCATTCTAGAAACAAGCTTCTATAAATATATTACTACATGTACAGTTCTATCATATATAAGCAGAACAACTACCATCGTCATAAGACCAGCTGTGTCTGCTTGCAAGGTCATCACAGCTCGTGGACTACTGACATTGCTTCACAGAAGAAGTGGGGAGGGGGGCAGTGGACTCTTGCAGGAGTATCCAGCCACTCTTCCCAGACAGTTGTATGTGAATCTGCCCTAATTGCCTTGGGGACTTAGGGAGGAGCTAGGGTGTATAGTCTGAGGAAGACCAGAAGAGACAGCTCCATCCACACAGCTATGGGGGACTCATCATCCATGCTAGGTGCAGACCTTCTGGTGCAGCTGCTTTAGGGTCACCCACCACACTACTGCCCATAACCCTTCACCCATGCTCTCTCTATAAGTAACCCTAATAAACTCATTGGTTCTCCAGGGTGAACTTTGGGGAATCACCTTAGAAGTAGGGGGCAGATGCAGTCCACATCTCCTCCAGAGGAAAATTCTCACAACATACTAACATCACAAAGTAGAGGTAAAAACAAAGCAGTTTGGATCTCTGTTGGTTTAGCATGGTGTGCTGGATAGCTTTAGTGTCAACTTGACACATCTGGGTTGAGGGAACCTCAATTGGGGAATTGCCTTCATTGGACTGGCCTGTAGCCATGTCCATGGGGCACCTGCTTGATGAGTGATGTGGGAGGGCCCAGCCCACTGTGGGATGTGCCACCCCCGGGCAGGTGGGCCTGTGTTGCATAAGAAAGCAGGTTGAGCAGGGGCCAGGGGAGCAAGCCAGTAAGCAGTGATTCTCCATGGCCTGTGCTCCAGCTTCTGCCTCCAGGTTCCTGTCCTGAGTTCCTACCTTGGGCTCCTGGATGAACTGTGACCTGGGACATGTAAGCTAAACAAACCCTTTCCTCCCCAAGTTGGTATTGGTCAGAGTGTTTTGTCATAGCAATGCAGAGACAAACCAGAACACGTGGCGAGCCAGTCTTGTTCACAGGAGGCACAGTGATTATTCCTGCCAGAGAAGCTGTGCTTTCACAGTAAAGGCAAATTAGGTTTCTAGCAGGATTATTACTTTTTTTTAACACCCACTTCCCAGATATCACCCTCCCATAGCCTCCCTCCCCCCTACTAGAGCCCTTATACTCTGATATCCCTGCTACTGTCTGCTGTGTTGTCGGCACCCCCAGCCATTCCCCACTACTTGCCCTTCTGGTGAATCTAGTCAGCCTATCTAGAGCTCCATAACAAAGCAATCGAGTTTAATCTTATTTTAACATTTTTAAATTTATTGATAAATCTCATGTCTATGGTGCATCATATAGTACAACTATATTATAAAATTGCATTACCTTAACATCGAGAAGTTCTAGTGTCCATTCTCATTCTGTTTTGAATGCTCTTTGAAGTTTTTCCCTCTATAAATTATTTTATTAAAGAATAATCACTTATATAATTATATATCATGACTACATAAGATTATTTATATGACTATAATAATAATGTTCTAAAATTTATTCCAACTTAAAATTAACTTACATATTAAAGTTTAAAAATGTAAAAAAAAAAACAAAGCAGATTGGATCATATCCACTCTACAGAAGCTTACAGTACAGGACTATAGCTCTGGGAAGTAACATGGAGCAGAATGGGTTAGAAGACTGGAAAAGAGTATAGAGCATCCAACACAAGAGAAGTCAACTCTCTGAGCTGGAGGAGGAATCAAGAGTGAAAGGTCCTAGAGGCTGTTTGCCATTTGTATGGCAAATGATGGAGACACTGTTCCTGCGGGTTGTCTTAAACAGTTGCTTTGCAGGGTGCTGCATGAATATTCAACTCTATATGACATTTGTGGGCCTCGACTTCATTCTTTTGTTACTGCTTCCCATAGCTCATAACTTCTACGTTCACTGGTACCAACAGTACTGCCACCTACATAATGAACTGAATCTTACTTCCTCCACCAGCCTCAACCAAGACAAGCATACATCAGTAGCTGTAGCCAACTCTCTGAAATACAGAATTAAGCCACTTGTGAGCCTCTGCTCACAAATCAACCCCAAGGAGTCTCCAGGAGCAGCCTCCAAGGCCCCAGTATTATGTTTAGCTTATTCTTTCCTACCCGTAAGACTAGTTATAGATTTGATCCTCAACTCCACGGTTCTGTGCACATACATTATCTTTTTTGCCAAAACCAGTGATCTTCTTAATTATTTCATTATTATTATTCTTGTGGAGGGGGATACCACGCACAGGTGTGAAGGCAGAGGACAACTTTCAGGAGTTGGTTTTCTCCTTCCACTCTGGGTTTGAACTCAGGTCATCAGGCTTATTCAGCAAGCACTTTTACCCACTGAGCCTTCTTAGCAGCTTTAAACCAGTGATCTCAAAAGGATGCTCCATTTCAGGAACAAGAATAAAATAAAATTGCAAAATCAATTCCCAAAGGTATCATTCCAAAGCCGTATCTCAGCTCTCTCTGCTTCCTGACTGCAGGGTCAATGTGACCAGCTGCCTCATGCTCCTGCTGCCATAGCTAGAACCACTCGTACCACATCTGCCATGATGGGTTGTACCCCAAACTGTGAACCGAAACAACCCTTCCTTCCTTCCTTACAGAAGTTCAAGGCCAGTCTGGGTTACATACATTGTCTCATAAAGTAAATAAATAAAGTCAACCCCCCCCCAAAAGCAACCCTTTTCTCTCATCAATAATGATATATCTTTAAACTATAAGCAAGAAAAAAAATATATAAGCAAGATATAAAAAATATAAGCAAGAAAAAAGTAGGCACAAAATTATTTGGACTATATTAAAATTAACAATATATTACTTGTAAACAAAAGTGGGACTATTTAAGCAATAAAGTAAACATATAAGGATGGTTTTATAGAAAACTAAAATTTTTTTCACAATAGAAGAACATCTGTACCACTGTCAAACACAGACCATTAGGTTTATGACTCATTATTCTGACTAGATACTATTTCACAGGTTACATTAATAATTCAAATTAAGTATATATCTTAAATACTATGAATCATATTTTTAGCTTTTATTTAAATTCCTTTTTTTTCATGTGTATGAGTGTTTTGCATGCCTGTAAGTGTACCCATGCTGTGTACTGCCAGCAGAAACCAGAAGAGGATGTCAGATCTCCTGGAACTAGAATTAAGGATGGTTGTTAGCCACCATGTAAGTGCTGGGAATGAAACCCAAGTCTTCTGCAAGAGCAGCCAGTGCTCTTAACCATCTCTCTGGCTCCCTCATTTAAATTCTTACTGACAAAGTCTCATGTCCATGTTAACATATGAGAGCAGTCATAAAACAATCAAACTAAATGAAAACTTTTTAGTACAATTAATAGTTACAATTAAACTTTAAATCAGAAAGACTTGCACCTTTTCTTTGATCTTTCTCAGCTTCTCATCAATCACTCTCAGCCGCAACCGCTGATCTCGCTGCTCTTTGGTGTCCCGTAGAACCTTTTCTCCTGGAGTTGTTTCCATATTTCCTTCATCATCAAGGTCAGGTTCCTAATTTAAAATAAAATTCATTCATTCACAGACTGGTTAAAGTGCTCCTGCCATATGTCCTCCAAGGTGACTGAGACCTGGGTCAGCTGTGCTTCTCAAACAACACTGTTTCTCTTCAAGTCATATTTGTAATCCTTGTCAGTTTTCTATTTGAAGAACGAAAGGTCCAAATACACATAATACAAGTAAAGAAATAAACCCAACTTGCCCAATCATCTGGAAAGCAGGAAAACACAGTAGAAGAACTGTGGCCAGCTAGGGACCTGAGTTCTGCTCCTTGCTGTTTATCAGTCTGAGATCTTAGACAAACTGTAGTTTTTCTGTGCTTCAAGTTTGTCACATATAATTATTTTTTTCATTTACATCTTTAATTTCTTTTTAACTCTGAGAATTTCACACATGTATACAATGAAATATGATCATATCCACTCCCCCATTCCCCCCAATGCACAATTCTCCCTGGATCTCCCCATACACATCCACCTCCCAACTTCATGTCTTTTTCTTCAAATAACCCTCTTAGTCCGTTTAGTGCTGCCCATATATGCATGGGTCTGGGCCACCCACTGTAGCATGGGCAACCTACCAGTGGCCACACCCCCAAAGAAGAATGATCCTCCCTCCCTCAGCAGCAATCAACTGCCAATAGTTCCTCAGTTAGGGATGGGGCCTCATGACCCCATCTATGCTGGAATTTTGGCTGGCTTGATCTTTTGTAGGTAACCACAGCTGTAGTTATCACATTTTTTTTTTAATCACTTAGTTTTTTAGATGAATGAGTATTTTGCCTGTATGTATGTAAGTGTACCCATGTCATGCAATGCCCATGGAGGCCAGAAGAGGGCATCAAATCCCCTAGAACTAGAGTTATGCATGATTGCTAGCCACCATGTGAGTGCTGGGAATCACACGTAGGTCCTCTGCAAGAGCAGCCAGAGCTCTTGACCACTAAGCCACCTCTCCAGCCCCATCACATATAGTTTTTAAGCCTGCCCATCCACATTATTAGATGCAGGTATATAAAAATGGGGGGAAGCTGGAGTTGCGAGATCTAAGTTTTGGATCTTGGCTCCATTTAGCTCCTAAGATGACATTTTAAAAACGAATTACCTGCCCTGAACTTCAGTTTCATCATTCATGAAATGAAAACGAGAACTAAACCAAATGTCACTGTAGCACATAACAGACAGGCAACAAATCTTGGTAACTAACAAGCTGCACATGTCCTCTGAATATAGGAAGCACCATATAAAAGAATACTTTATCAATACCAATCACATTGCTCTTGACAGAATCGTATTTTCTCAAGGTTAACAGCATTTCTAAGTGATTAAAAAATTGGCATTTCTTGACATGTTGATTCTATATGTAAAACTCAATTTCCTCTCTTTTCTCCCATAGAGCTCCTACTCCAGGTTGCCACACAGGAAACTGGCATGAATGATGTCTTTGGTTATTTTTGAGGAAGTAGAATCTCTCTGCTCCCATTCCCTACCCCTGGCTGTTCACCTAAAATACTCAACATTCTACTTTCTAATATCTCCCTAATCAAAACACCTCATTCAGCTGGGTATAGTGATGCACGCCTTTAATCCCAGCACTTGGGAGGCAGAGGCAGGTGGATCTCTGTGAGTTCAAGGCCAGCCTGGTCTACATAGTGAGTTCCAGGACAGCTGGGGCTACAGGGAGACCCTGTTTCAAAAAGACCAAAAAATACGTAAAAAAAAAAAATAAAAAAAAAAAACTCATTCATTTTTGCTGCCTGAGTTCAGAGCTCTTTACCATTCACCAGTAATTTCCAAACTCCAGCATGCTTCAGTATCTACAGGGCGTCCAAATCCCAGGAGATTCTCATTCAAAGGCATGGGCTAATAAACTGACCACCTGAAATGTAACTCTTTGTGGATTTGAGAGTTATTAGCTTAAGTCCTGCAGAAGCCTCTTGAATGGTCTCAGTGTTACCACTCACCCTGTTTACATCATCCTCTGCAGAGAAGCCAAGAAGAGGTGCAAAGTATGCCTAGCCTGGGCCCTGCCTACCTCTTCAGTCTCATCTGCCACTTCCTGGGTCTCAGGTTCAAAGCCCTAGCCACACTCTCTACTGCTAGCTCCCCACTACCCCATGCCTGTACCTTACAACTCCTTGCAGAGACTCCTAACTATTTTGAATCCAGCTCAAGTATGTATCCACTTTCAAGTATTATCTGGTGTACCTAGGGAGGAAAAGCTGGTCAATATATTCATCTTAATATTCCTATTGTCACTTGTCCCTTGGTCGTATCACCATATGACTGACCTTATCTGTGTTCTGATACATACAGGAATCCTGAACCTGTATAAGCCCTAACTAATAAACTGTAATTTTGGCTCTCACGATTTTGATAACAACTAATGTTTGATCCTATCTACAATGAATGTCAGTAAAAAAAAAAATCACATTGAATAAAACCATAACGAGCTAACTAGTAAAATAGTACATCAGAGCTGGGAAGATGGTTCAGTGGGAAAAAGCACTAGCCATGCAAGCCTGACGACCTAGGTTTGAATCTCTAGACCTCATGAAAAAGCACAGTAGCACAAGCATCTGAAACCCAAGACGGGTACATCTTCTTGCTTCTTGTCCCAAAATGACGTAGTATTTCAGAAGGTGGATATAGTTGCACAGAAATAAGTTGGACAAAGGTTAACAGTCATTAACTTAATAATAAAAAATATCTTGACTATTAGGCTGGGCATATAACTCAGTGGTAGAGTACTTGCATAGCATGCACAAAGGCCTACATTCAATTCCCCATTAATATATGCATATATGTATAATTTCATCCACTTTTTGGTATACTCTTTGTGGTTCTTGAGTTTTCTACAGTAAACATATCAATTTCATAAGCAGAAGTTTTTTGTTTTGTTTTGTTTTTTAAGCAAACAGGTTATTCTACCAAAGCTCTTTTTCGTTCTCTGACAGTATTACTCTCTGTCAAAAGGGGACAGGGATGGAGGTTAGATCTTAGCTCCATTTCTGTTAGAATAATCAAGTGTACACTTTGGATGCCACCTCCTCTTTCCAGGTCTCAAGCTCTTATGAAAAAGTTTATTCCACTGCTACTGACTTGTCTGTCTATAATTCTCTGCAATTGGACTAGAAGGACATGGAAGGCCTTTTCCCAGCTGTGCTCTCTGTTGGCATGACCACCTAATTCAAATATCTGAAGAATACCATGCAATGGAAACAGAAGTGAAGGAACAAGGAAAGAAAAATCACTGGTGCGGCTGACTATCACCCAGCTGCATATTCAGCAATGTGCGTGCCAGGGAGTTCTCATCTGACAACAAAGCACTAGCCAGAACTGTCTTCATGAGCCCGAGAAATAATTTAGCAGATTCTATAAACAACTTATTTTTGTCTGTGCTTCTAAGTCATTCAGAAATGATTTCATGGAGAATTTAGCAAAAGCTCTCCAAGATACACGTGTAATGTCTAACGAAGCCACAAGAAGAGAATTAACCCTAAGATAAACTGATGTTTACTGATTTGATTGGTTGCCAAGGGATTCTGGGTTCTGCCTTTAAAAATAGCTGTGATGTTGACTGAGCCAACAGAGATGTTTGAAGATAAATAAACTCATTTTTCAAAAGTCAAATACAAAGGAAATTACAGCTTCATAAGTTACTCGATATTCAGAGAAGGCATGCCTAAGGGTACCCATGGATAAAGCCGCCAGTGCGGTATTTGATGCATGCTCTATGTCTCTACAAGCACTGCCATTTCTTATCTCAGATAGGAGAGTTACCCAAAATTAGTGGGGAAAATCGTTCAAACAGAATGTTTTTATCATCTTGGAATGTTGCCATGAACTTGAAAGAAACCTTGGCAACATTGGAGACATAGCAGTAAAACAAAGAATAATAAAATTCAAAATAATCTGTAAAAATAGGTGGAAGCTACTTCCCAGATTTAGCTGAAACTACTTGCCAGACTGGCTTTGGAGGACAGTCTCTGAAGCAGTGTCTCGTTATCCCTCAGTCCGAACACGCATGCTCTTGAAATGCTCCACTGCAGTTTCTGGAATGAGCAGATGTCAATGAAGTTCAGTGCTTGCAACTAGCTGACACTGAAAAGCTCGTGGATTCCTGCCCTCAACCAGTGCATTAAATCTGGGGGAAAATAAAGTCCCCTGAGTCAGCAACATACATTTTTCAGGATTATGTATCACTCAATGGTCTCTCTTTCCTAAATTTTAACTTACGGTGAAAGAGAAAGAAACCAAAAAAAGGTCATTGTTGCCATCAGCCATTGTAAGATCTTGGCAAGAAAAGAGATGAATATAACTCTAGGGTTCCTCAGTCAAATATTTGTTTATTTCTTTCAGTGTTACCAAATTGTGTACAAAAGGGTTAGTATTTTAAGAGCAGGATAATAATTCAAATTAAGGAATGCCATTATATTCAATTATGTGAGCTGGTTTGAGAATAAAGAAATACCTCTTGTCAATGAGAGCCTTTTCTAAAGACTCTGCTTTGGCCCGAGGGAAAAAATTTGAACCATGAAGTAGAATTCTAGATTAGCAAGACTGATTGCATGAAAGATGAATAAACTAAACTCCTTTACAAGAGCCAAATGGAATAGAATTTATTACTGGAACCAGTTGCTAAGGATTTAAGAAACTGAGCATTTTCACAACTCCTATATCACAGACATAGTTGGAATCTAATATATCTACAAATAAGAAAAACAAGATGATGTAACATCACTCAGTTTTATGGCACGATTTATAATATGGAGGAAAAAACCCCAGTGATTTGATGGAGAGTTGGGAGATGGATAAACAAAGGTATCCACAGTTAAGCTGCAGACAAGAATTGTTTCAATTAGTTCTTTTTGGCTATAATGAAATGAAAATTAAAAGCACATGTTAAAACTGCAACCACATGATATTATTAATATTACAGCAATAGCAGTAACACGGCATTCTTTCTTCTGAATGTGGCCACATGCTTTGTTC